GGTAAAGCGAGATAACCATTGTTAAGAAAGCGATATTTATGGACGTCTTCCAGTAAGAAGCCTCCTTAAAAAAAACAAAAAAGAAATCCAAAAAAAATTAATATCTTAAGAAATATCCTACAAAGTCAAAGAACAATGCCAGTGTAAAAAATCAGCTGCCGCACTCGTGAATAACTAAAAACGTCATAAAACAGTGCCACCTTTTTCAGCAGTTGTTGTGCCACGCAAAAACTGATAAAAAATATGGAATGATCTCTCTTCCGCAGCCTGACGTAGTGTCCTGGACTTCTCAAGCAAATAAAACTCGATATTGGCTCCGGAAATATAACCCGACGTGTCGAAATTAATTCTGATAAATTTTCCCTGAAAACAATCAGAACAACGAAATGTAAGTGGCAACAATAATAATAACGACAGCAACTAAAAACTGCAAAAATAAGAGGTGCAGGAATGAAATTCAAAGCGAAGTAAATACTACTGCAATGACTTACAAATCTAGAGGAGTTGTCATTTTTCACAGTTTTGCTGTTTCCAAAAGCTTCTAATATAGGATTAGCTTGAAGCAGCTGATTTTCCAGTTCACCCTAAAAGAAATGGCTACTGAAAAGAATATATAATAGCCAAAAAACAAAGCTTAAGCGCACTAAACCACTAAAATAAAGCACAAAAGCCACAATAGAAATTAGGCATAAGAACACAGAAGCAGTGCAACACTAGATTAAAAGTGTGAAAAAGAAAAATTAGCTTTTTTCACCAGTGTAATTCAAAACTTTATCTGACCTAATATTTCTAAATGGTTCCTGGATAATAACTGCTCACAAAGTCATAAAAACGTCCAATATTGAAAATAAAAAATGGAAGCTAAAAATCAACGGACTAGCAGTAAGTTACTTTCAAGATAATTTCATAAGAAAAAAATTTAACTTTGACGTCTTATATGAGTATATTTTAACGCAACACTATTTCTGTGCGCGAAAAAAATTGAGAAAAGAAGTGATCAAAAAAATGGCAAGTTGTACTTAACGACTTTTTTAGGGTTATTTTTCTTTAAACTATTGAAAATAACCAGGTAATCACAATAAGCAGAAAGTGCAAGAAACGGAGCAGAATAAAGGTATCATGAGCCGTAGACGACTTACGATGACGTTCTGCGAATCCTGACGAGGCTGCAAACAAAATAATGCGTTACACTGTTAATTTTGTGGTGTCAATGACTGAGTACAAATTAACTTCATAAAAAATGCAAAGATGACAAACATGCAAAATGTTGAGTACAGTTAAAATCATGGAACTTTTAAATAAGTGAATAAATCTGATTAAATTACAATAACTAATAGAACTCGGGAGCAGCTTAGACTAAACCCAAAAACTTGCTGAACGAAAAATGTAGATAATGAGATTCCTCAGTAGTTGTTACGCATGCGCTTCGGAAGGTATGCAAATAAACCAGAAGTTGCCGAATATTTTTAACAAAAACAGGATGAGCGAGCCCTTTTATAAATTTTTTTTCTCGCCAGCAGGATCTCATTCATGAATAAGTTCACCCCTTAGCAAAACCGTTTCTGGATCTAGGAAGCTTTAATACTAAGAAAATTAAAATAGCTTCTTTAAAAAGGCAAATAATTTCACTAACAAAATATTCCAAAGAAATATTTACAAAATATTTCTCGAAAATATACCTTCATTGGAGAAGACGTTTTACTTTGACGAGTAGCGCCAGCAACACAGGCAAGATACTGAATAACTTTCTTCGTATTTTCAGTTTTCCCAGCCCCAGACTCACCACTACAAAAAGTCAATATAGAGGTGTAACTTCATTACCTGGAAGTTAAAGAATAAATAGACCCGAATAGGACTTCCGATAAGGATGTGATGAAATAAAGCATTAAGTTAGAGAATCCCTCACGTGCAGAGTATAGACTGATCCTCTCGCTCTGAAATATGGTAGTACAATTAAATTTTTATTATCAAATGAGCTAGACGAAAAACTACTTTAAGAAACAGAGCGATACCTTGAAGCATAGACCGATATGCCGTATCGGCTATAGCAAAAATATGTGGAGGCATTTCTCTTCTTTTTTTCCCTTTATATGCCTCTATTACTGCTTCAGAATAAATGGGAAGCTTCTTGTACGGGTTTACAACAACACAAAAAAGTCCCGAATATGTCTGGAAACAGTGATGAAACTTTGTTTTTGCAGGTTTGAAAAAAAAGGTAATGAGTAAATGACGAGCAGGAATAAAAAATAGATCGTAACGAAAAAACTCACATATATAAGAGAAGAAAAATACCGCTCCTTCAAGTTATGAAGCACACAGGCCTCGTTTAAGCAGGTCAAATCCGCCATATCTTCTACTTTTTCAAA